GGAGAGAGAGAGAGCTTGGAATCTACTTGTTTCGTGTACAATGCAATTGATTTTCTAACACTCGCGTGTTATCGGTTATTATTGAAGACGCGATTAAATTTTTCACGCAAAGTTTTCTTGGACATATCATGTTATAAAATAGAATCTGATAATGTAATATTTTCCGAAAAAGTTAGATTAATAACGCTTTTTGTATAAAATAATTAATCTTTTTGTGTACAATAAGTTAATGTAAACTTTTAGAAAAATCTATCTAGGAAAAATAGCTGGACAATATTGTGTATTATTTGATGTAATTTGATGACATAATAATGTAAGTTAATTCTCGAACGAAAGTAATAATCAATAATTATGCATCACCGAAAATGTCTGACGAAAATCTTCTTACGGAATAATAATAATTTTAAACTTTAGTTTAAACATTACCGGATTTGTCGCGATATGGAATAGAATGAGAATTAAAGTCGAGAAATTGACATTGATTGTGTGTTATAATATAAATCCATCCAAAGATTGTGGAACAATCTGAATTGAATGAATTTCCGTTTTTAAAGTGTTTTGTGTATCTACTATTGATGTGCGTGTATCTGTTCCTGGACAGATTTTCATGGGAGAAAATATTTTGAAAATAAACATCACGTTCGTCGAAGGCATCTGTATATTAAAAAATGTTTTAAAATTAGATATGCTGTCCAAGAGAACAAATATACCTAAGAAATAATAGATACAACGAAAATTGTTGTGTCAATGTTTTATATCATTTGAAACTAAGACTTGATTATATCGAAAGTTAAGATGATGGAGTTCCGATAATCATAATCAGTAGTATTTGATAAGTTTTCAAGAAGAAATCTCTCTTTCGAGAAAGAAAAAGGAACGCATATTTGCAATGACTAATTTGATATAATTTTCGTTGTAATAATTGGAAATAATTCTTTTTGGTCTGATGCGTTATCTCGATGAGATTCGTCATGATATAATTAGCATTTCGAGAGGAGATATTCCTATAGGAAGGTAGGAAGGAAAAATGAGATTCTCGATGTCCACTTTATTATATTTAGCCGGTTAGACCACACAGAGGCACGCGTCAATGGTCGAGTCGCAGATAACACGCCGCTACTATCGGAAGACGGAATTAACTGTAGAGTGAAGCTAAGAAAAACTTTCTTGAGATTCAATGTACTTTCGGTTTATCACAGATATCCCTCTGACGCCGTATGATAAACGTTATTACTTGCATCGGAAATTATTTTTACGATTCCTTTAGATGATGAGAAACGGGTGATGTCACAGTTTTAAAATTCAACTTTACATATATTGTTATGATCAGAAGATGTAACGTTTAGTATAGGTATATAAAAAAAATGTATAGTATATATACTAAAATTTCATCACGTGATCAAATGTACGAAAGAACTGGTTTAGATAAGTCAACATTTGTGTATTATTATTTTATCGTTATTTGAATAATCGCGCGCCTAAAATATATCTTGTGCGAATCAAGAAATTTAATTAAAATAATGTTATTGATATCATTTTTAAGAAAAAAAATGCTGTTAGTGTGTTAATTTCTAAATCGAATATCTTATAAATATGTATGTGATAATTGATATAAATCTCATGTCAGAGCTTGAAACTGATACTCTACTCGTATCCAATTTATCTTTATAAAAAAAGAGAAATCTTTCTCATGCGATTCAAATGCATGTTTATTAAATTTATGGAAAAGATAGATTACATCCACTAATATTATTCCACGACAACCTGCAATAAGTCGTTACGAAATATACACCCTGAATACAATAGCATCTAACTTTCTCTGTCACTTGCATCTCTAAAACATAGATATCTACCGAATATATCGCATCGAAAATAGCTATAAATTTTTATTATTATATATCAATCTCTGTAACATAATAAATAGAAATTTTTAATATACACGCGCATATTAATATAAAGGGATATTTTTTGGAATTTTTTGTGATTGTCATAATTAAGAAAATATACTCCCTCTCTCTCTCTCT